GTAGTAACAAAATACGCATTTAACTTATGTTTTTCAAGGTTAAATGTCTGACGTACAAACTATTATTCATATTCATTAAGATCTATTCTAGGAGCCATAAGTGTTTTTTTCTTCAAACGTCAATTATTAATTAATTTCTTTAGGTTCGCAAAAACAATTTTCTTCCCATTTTTTCCACAGCTTCCTCCATTGATATTCACAAAGTTTAAATGAAATTTGTATTTTTATACCGAAAGTAGCTTAAGTACAGATTTACACTTTGTACTTCCAAATCGATGAAGTCCAAAATATGGATATAGATGTACAGTGTGTAGGTAATATAATAAATAATAACTTTGAATATAGAACTAATTTATAAACTAATGTTCGTTTATTTATTTGATATTTTTATCAGCTCATCGATGACATTCTCAATTTTTACATTCATATCACGATGTATGTTTAATTAATTAAAGAAAATTAATCAATTTAATTAAAGGTTTTAAAACCTTTTTTTTAATACATTTATATATTTTCATATAATAAACGGTTTGAATGGACATTTAAATGATTTTAGACCGTTGAATTTCTTATATCGGCATACTAATGAAATGGCCGCTCTCATACGGGTAGTGTTATAAATATTTTAACAAATTTAAAAATTATTGGAAAAATATCAGGGTTTATATTGACCTAAAGATCAATAGTATTACTTTTCTTGAGTTCCATCGGTGATTAATTAGTGCATCGAGTATACGATAAGTCTAATTCTCCATTTAAAATATTCAATTAAAAATCATTTAAAATATTCATATTAAAATCAGTGAAATTATCAATTATTTCTAGGTATATTTTTGTGTAAATTATTAAGTGTAATAACAATTTATACTTTTTTTCCAACTATTATTTTTTTTTTCAATTTGGAAGACATTTCGGTGAGGGATACGTATAACCCTCTTTAGGTACGCCACTGATACCTTGTACAAATATTACAATACAAATAATTTATATAATTTGTGGGTGTACTTGTCGATATTAATATTCTATAGAAACGTAAACCGATAAAATAAAAATTAAAGAAAATACCGTTATTGGTTGGTAACGGATACTTGGTCGTTCGTTAACAATTTTACTGACTAAACATTGTATTATTGTGTTTATCGAAATAGCATCCGCAAAATCGTATTTCATACTAAAACATCATGGTATCGTGAAATAATGATGGCTTTTATTTATACATTTTATGGCAAAAATTTAATCGTAAAAAAAAATGCATAAAACCATGTAATTGAATACTTTTCGTGAAATCTGCTTTTTGTTATTATTTCGGTATTATAAATGTCAACCAAGTGACTTTGTCGGGTACTACGTATATATATATGCTAAAAAGAAATGTAAATCAATATCGGCAATTTATATAAATGATACCTATTGAAACGGTGATAGTAACTCAACATAAATGGGTCGATTGAAATTCGACTGAAGTTAACTACTGCAGAGCTGTTCATCGTTTTTTTTTTTTTTTTTTTTTGTATAAGATACACGTATTATTTCGATGAGTGCAATTAAAATATGTATGTAGGCGTGCGAGTCGAAGGATATATTTAATCGCAGGTTTTTGGACAGTGGTATTCGTTTCATCATCAACCGTACGCGAAAATACTAACTCAGAACACGTGCCCCTATCTCGCGCTTTTATTTATTCGTATTCATAATAAGCCAGTCGAACCCGAACTTTATTGTTGTTCTACAATAGTAAGTTCTAGCGTGCAACAAACGCAGATCATTGTACAATAATATTCTTGTCGGTTTTATGATGAAAAAAAAAAAAAAAATTATAAAAATCGTGTCGCGGTATTGTTCTACTGACCCACCCACGCTATTGTCTCTTGTACACGTTTTGTTTTTGTTTTCTTTTTTAATTCGCTTCATACATTTAATATACTAATAAGTATAGATATATATTTCGCAAAGTGCTCAGTCATGCCTGCATACCACTGCCACACAGTATACAGAACGCGTTTTTTCGTTCATTCATTCATTCTATATTTAAAGATTTTTTCTATTATTTAACATAGAGTAGGTACCTAATATTTACCTAAGTACATAGGTCGTATGTGACTATGTGAGAATAAATTATAAACTAGCCGTCTAGATCCCGGAGTCATCGATATACGCACTCCCATTTTTGCATGAGGTGGCCGTCTCGTAAAACAGCTATTCACACCGCCACCGGTATTCAGCCCAACCGAGTCCGTCCCTAGATTTCCGCGCGTATTTGAAATTCGCATTCGTGCACACCAAATGAAAATGGTTTCGCCGTTATCACGTTCCTTATCGTAACGGGTTTCAAATGCTATAATTTCGCTTCTACACTTGGGGACTGGTTCGGTTGGTGCTTCCCCTCCCCTCTGTCGGCAAAAATTATGCCCCGTGTTTATAATCATGTTCGATATTCAACGATAACGGATTAAATGTGTTAAAAATGATACAAACTCGTATGTTTACGATCCAGTATTGTTTACAATGGTGTTGTAGGTGGGTCGTGTCGGAAAATATTCCGCCGTTTAAGGAGGATCGAATCAAAATTGAAATCACCGCAATGAAGTGCGTATTATAATTAACGAATGCGGAGTGTGTGATAATTAGTCGAGTGAGAATAAAAAAAAAAAAAAATACAGTTTTCCGTCCTTTTTCCCTATCCCTCTCTGTCACTCTTTCTCGTTCTAACGGAAAACCAAAATACGCGTGCGCGCACGAATGGCTGATTTCTCCCCACAACTCTCCTCGTCAAAATATTCAATAAAATATACACAATACCGCATCTATAGACGCACCTTGCGAACAAACAACAATGGAAACCGAACAAAACGAGTTTGGCACTAACTGAATTTAATTACCGGCTCATTATCGTTATTGTAATAAATGTTTTATACTTTTGTCAAAAATATTTTTATTCATTTATCGATTTAATATTTTACCGAGAGAGTAAGGAATACGGTAAATTGGGTTGAAACATCCGACGAAAAAAAAATAATAAAAATACCGTTCACTATCCGGAACCATATTGATTCCAAAGACAATCGTTTTTAGTAAACCAATGGGCATCGAAACTTTTCAATGCACGATACGTTTTTCGTACACGCAAATTTAATATCATACATTTATATTTTATTCATATTAACGTAAAACAAGCCGAGAATGTATACCGGGTAAAATCTATAAAACTTTGTTCTCGCATGACGTGCGTACCACATAGGTTTTAAGTATTATAAGTACATATAAATATAACGTGTATATATATATACATATATATATATATATCTATATATATATTGTGTTTTATATAATTTTCGAAATTCCACTATTGGACGCATCAGGAATTAAATATTGTTTCGCAAAGATATATATGTTCGAATAATTGGATACGCATTTACATATGTAGGGGTATCGTAACTATTATAACTATTTACCAGAATTGAAACGTATGATACGGTATAGTATAGGTACAAAACACGTATTGAACGTACGTATAAAAATTAAATACCTAATAAATAAAAATAATTATATATTATTATACACGAAAAAATAATGCATTTAATTATTAACGCTATTATTTTAGATTAAATAATTGTATATAGATGATTATTATTTTTTTATGTAATATTTGATAAAAGATATAAGTATCAAAGGATAGAGGAATAAGGCTTTTATTTTATATGTATATGTATAATATTCCATATTATTAATTTCTAAAAATTTAAATTTTACATTAGAATATGAATACAATAATATATTATATTCTGGGTCTAAAGCAATATTTTATTATTTTATACTTAGATAGGTACCTATTCGAAAGAATGAGAAAAGAAATTGCAAACAAAAACATTTATTTACACAACATATATAATTTTGAACTATCTAATATATTTTACCTAAGTATAAAAATGAAAACCCTACCTAAGTTAATACTCAAAAAACGAAAAGTTTTAAATTTTCAATGATTGAATTTCAAAAACAAAATATACGTTTTAGTCATTTTGTACATTTTATATGTGTACGTATATTACCAACCCTGCTACGTATTTACCGACCATAAGTTTAATATCAAAATCAAATCCACAAGGACATTGTCACGTATACATTTACAAACCACAATGATTGGATGTAACCAATATACAATATGAACTTAAGGATAAGTACTTAGTTAAAAATGTTACTTCAGAGAAACAACATTTTAAAATGTGTGCGTGAAATCCTTAACGGCATGGGAAATTCGTAATGGGGTACCGAGACCAAACAATTCAGGCAGAGCATGTCGTTGAGACTTGACCTGATGAAGTATAACGTTTGCCCTATCTGAATATAGAGTTCAGCGCCATTGGACATTCGTAGTACTATAATACAATACGTGTGCAACGTTTTTCATCGCCGCATTTCAAATATTCGAAAAACATTAAACGTTTAGATTGGGTGAATTTTGAACTAACGTTGAAAGCGATAGTTTAATTTTTGGATTTCCGTGTGTACAAATCATAAACAGCCAGTCATGGAAGAAACACACATAATATGTACATTATATCAACAACTATAAAAATATAAAATATTAATATGCAGTAGGACTTGGAATGCATTTTTAATATGACATTGATTCTGTTGTAACCGACAGCTTCGGTATAAAATGTCGAACGCAAAATCCATTGTACAGTATACACTGTTCACGAATAATAATAATAATAACGTTTGATATGAATGCTAATATGACTTGCAACATGTTGCAAAGAGTTGAAATACGGAACGCAATTGAGTGCGGCTCAAGTTTTCAACACCTCCTTCCCCTACACTGTACATGATATCTATAATAATACCACATAGTGCGTCTGGTCCGTTTGTATTTGAATTATTTAGTGTCTACTCCCCGGAACGAGATCATTACGATCGAACCGGGTCACATCGACGCCCATTATCAGAGTTAAAATGTATCCGTAAATGTTTAATAGTCTCCGGAACATCAAACAGTAATGACCCGTGGTGATTGGACCGTCGATTGGACCGTTCACCGAGTAAAACACACAAAAAATTAAAAAAAAAAATAATTTAAAATTTAATATTAAACAAAATATTTAAAAACGGAACGCATCGTAGTAAAACCAATACGTTGTTCGATCGTTATCTAAAAAATGAATACCGGCCTATAGCCGAACTAGTTAAGACATTAGTCCAAACATCGATTACGGCATAACAATTAATAAGCTAATAATCGAGCAGTACGTAAATGATTCGGTACGAGCTTTTATTTTCCGCCGTCAACATACGTTTCGTCGTCCGTGAACGCCCTTTCGTATTGTAACATAAACAACACGCGGTCAACAGACGCGTTAGCCGCGCGCAGAAATATTTCCGTACATAGTTTTGTGCTAAAAAACACATAATAATGATAACAATATCCTCCCGATTAATTTGTCGGTTTTCCATACGTTAAGAACGTTACGAACATTCGAAACAATTTCGTGCACCACGTTACTATCGTGTAGTTTATGTCGTTTAATGCGACGACGGGGGTGTGTATGATGTATACGTCGACGCAAAGTGGATATTGGATAACTTTGTTGAAACAATTAATAGAACGAACTATGCAAACTATATTATATGTACAAAGTACAGAGTTTATATTAAAATCACTATACCGTTACGTGTTACATGGTGCCTCGTCGTGTTGTTCTCAAAACAATATTGTGTGTAATACAGTCAATAGTTGCAAACTTGAAAATCGTTTGCCGTTCATACGCGTTAAAAGTTACTTGTATTTATTATAACATCATTGTACTACGCCTGTGCCAAACGTGTAATTATTTTCATTTTATTTCTAGCCTTATTGGATGAAGAGCAAGGAGTACTGGAACAACAGTTTTGACGAGCGTTACAGAAAACTCCAAGAAGACGTGGACAAGAAAAAACGTCCGCCGCTCAAGGTGAGTTTTTGTCGAAAACCTTTAAACCAAACGCGTAGTAAAATTTTAACGTACTCTTCTGCAGTGGCGTATGTAGGTTTTAATTTTGGAGGGGGCCGATTATGCATTTGATTTTTGAGTGGATGGGAAGGAGAAAGCACACTATTACGAAAAAAATTACTTTAACACTATAAGACTTCTCGACTGTCTTTACACCATCAGAGAAATAAGAAACTCAATTTTTTTAATGATTTATTGTTTTTTAAAAGTATAAAAACTACATTGTAATAAACAAATTTTTTATTAGAGTCATTCAAAACTCACCACATATGTTCTTAAAAGAATAAACATATTTTATAAATATAAAATTTTAAATGAACGCATAGGTAACATTCTAAGTGTCGCGACAAATTTTCGGAAACCCCCAGCATTAAGACATATCCATGTTAAAAATAACAATCTTTAACAATGATGTTTTTCATTTCGAAGGGAGCCCGGGCCCCCTCGGCCCCCCATATATATGCCCCTGCTCTTCTGTATAGTATTTTTTACTCGTGTAGTGTCTATGAAAACCGAGCACCGTTATTAATGCATTTTCTTCACTTACTACCCGACGATTTCGACGTGCTACGTTTTTGCGGCTTACTTATGATGATTATTTCAAAAAGCGAATTAAATATGAACCACGTAAATGCGATTAAAAGTGATCTATTACATTGTACGATGAACAGAGTTCGACCGAATTCAACTTTTGTTCGCTCTGAAAGAACCACGAAGGTTTCGTGTTATACAAACCTTGTCATTTAAAAAAAAATTAGCATACATTTTATTGTTTTAATTTAAATTCTTATAAAAATAATATTCATTTAGGACGGTTTAGTTCGAATGATTCATTGGACAACGTCACGAAACACACTCGTGTATACTTAAAAACAGTAAATAATTCGCGTAAAAACTTCCGGCGCCCATTTCCCATACATAATATAATGACATATATCAATTATGTGAAAGCTTTTTGTGATCAACTACATTTCTATATAAAGTAAAAAAAACGTGTCACGGTGAGTCATGATCACGGTATTGTCACTGATCATTTTTGGAACGTCCGTACTACAAGTACATCATATCGGTTTTCCGTTAATCATGTATACGATGTACGATATATATACGGTGTGGATAATACCGTAATAATATCATTCTTCATTAGGTACGCGTTTATTGATCGACGCGGTTCTAACGACGAACGAGACAGTTTCAGATCTGGATAGCTTTTAGAGCGAAACGATTTTGTTCCGAAAAAAAAATTCGCCAATAGCCCGTTTTGCCTGTTACTAAATCCGTTGTCATGGCCGGAACATACATTGTAAATTAGGAAGATAGCGAGGGGAGAAGGAGCGTTACGAAGGACTACAATTATTAGACACTCTAAAAAAACGCACATTTATTTAACACAAACCACACAGACGGATTTTTGTTTTTATTCTTATTCAATTGAATAATGTGCCGCACTGTTTTAGCGAAGCCCGTGCAGACCTGTCTAACGTTGTTTTCCTTAATTATCATTTAAATGTTTTCGTAGATCGTACTTGCAATATGTACCTACCATACATTTATTCATAGTTATCATAAATTACTCAAACTAGTGCAAACAATATATATAATACATATTTATTTGTTTGTTAAAAATGTACGGGTTAGTAACCTAGGGTTAACATCAAAGCAACAGTCTAATAACAACGAATATAATAATAAGATTCTAAATACATTATAAAAATTACAATAACAAATTAATAATGTCACAAAAACCATCATCGAATAAGAGGGTTCTCATTGGCGAGCGACATGTGCCTTAAAAGCTTATTTTGTAAATAATTTTGTTACCTCTAGGTTTTTCTGAAAACGAGATGTACACGAAGGGACCTAAAAATTAATTTGTGACAGCAAATGCGAAAAATCAATTGGTTTGGCTGTCGAACCGCGAATACATTTTAAATCGAACAGTCTTCTTCGTCCAGCAATAATGGACGGGTCAATGTCCACGTCTACTTATTCACCGCGTCCGCGTGCGCATTGCCGAAATGGTTGTCACTGACCCCTCTCCATCGGTGGCATGTTCGTGGGCAGAGGAAATTCGCCATCGAACCGAGGTCGATGCGAACGGTCAGGGGTGCGAAAACCTGCGAAATCGGTTATGTGGAGGTCTCGGTTCGTTTTTCGTTGGCGGGAACGTTCGCGGCTGTCGGGGAGGGTGAGTGGGCAGGGACGGCGTAACGAATTGTGGCCAGACGAGTTGACGTTCCTGGTTAGTCCGGGGGAGAGGGGTGGTAGTTTTGTCTTTTTCTATTTCTACCGTACCCACCGCAAAGCCTACATCGGTCCCATCCGTCACGTCCCTCGTTTCCCGGCTAATGGGATTTGCCGGTCGGACGCATCCGTATTACGCGCGCGTACGCGGAATGTCAACCGCGCGAAACGTTTCGCACGTACGCGTGGTGGATGTGCGTGGACGCTTTGGATGGTGCGACACCGATTTTGGAAGGGACTCGCGCGCGGGTGACCGAGAGAGGGAAACGCTACACGTATTCGATTCTGCCGCACACGTATTCTGAAACTTCGTTGGTTTTACGTATTTTTTTTTTTTTTAATTTCGAACGTTTACCGAAGCGGTTATTATTATCCTTTCAATGTGATCGCTGTAGCGAAGTTGACGAGTCGAAAGACGGAGAGAGAAGTAATGTTCATCGGCGTTGCAACTATTGCGAAAACGTGTTCGTCACAAGCGCCATGGTGTGATCAGCACGTAATTGGGGTCAGGCAGATGACGGGCATCGGATAACCACTTTCGTTTCGTCTCCGAAAACGTGTGACCCACGTTCTGCAAAACGCGCCACCTTTACCAAATATTATAGTAAATGAAAAACTGTCGCGCAAATGTACAAGTAAATGGACTTAAACATGTTTTTGAAATGTACAATGCAAAAATAAACGCATTATTAATAACCATCCGATGAGCTGCTTCAATGAATCTATAATAAAATTTGCACAGTGTAACAAACTATATATATATATATATATATATTACCATACGTTCGCGAAGTTACCCTCGAACGAATACGAAAATTATAAAATGTAAAATCAACGAAAACAGGGTATACTTGACATCCGAGACAGTTCCACGCGAAGAAACGATGGCCTGCAAGGTAGAGGACCAACATATATACCGAGGGACAAGTAAACAGGGGGTACTCACAGAAATGGAATACTCACATTTCACTCACCGGAGATTTTTTGGACTCAGCCCGAGTATGCACTACTTGACCATTACGACTAGTTTATTTCTCTAAGCCCTCTGTTGCATGTAAGAACGTACATTAGAATAATCCGTCCAAACACTACACACTTTCTTGTATCATTATATTTTTAAGTTAAACACAATTTGCAACGTCTTTACTAACAATATTGTACATTTACTCTATATTTTGAACACCTGGATCGCAACGCACGTTAAGGGTTGATTCCCGTCATCGAATATACAGTTATACTCCACATCGGCTACAACGTTTCTTCCGTCCTGGAAGCAACAACCGCCATTGCGGAGTCAAATTTGAATTGTATCACCGAAATAATTTTAATGTTTAAAATTTGATTGCATTACGTTTGTTTCTTATTCGTGGGTGTATGATAATCGTGATGGTTTTGGTTTCGATTTTTAACGAAATCCGAAATCGCCAATTATTTAAATAAGTGTACACATTTATTAGTACCGTTGACATAATTTTCCACCGTTGATAGTTTCAATCGTTTTCAGTTTCTGATGTGTAAGAGATACTAACATATTTTTTGTATTCATTGATGAAAGCATTTTACATTAAATTATAATAATGTATAATCGGGAGAAAAAATATCGAAAATATAATCAGAACCACTGGAGCCAAAACGTGATGTAGGAGAGCAAAAATTTTCTATTTACTGATACACTAAACATTAATATATTTCGTGCATTTTATAATCACAGTTAAATTATACATTTTTTTTACAAATAGTACAAATACTAAAGTCATGCCAAATATTCAACCATAAAATCGATGGCATATTTGTACAGTTTTGAAAATATAATTCTATGTAAATATTAGCAAAATTCTTTTTAGAGTGGATCTGCAAACTTTAATTGAATCGGATTTTTTTTATCGTACAAAATAAAGTTTATTTAATTTGTTTAACTTTATTTAAAAATCCATTTGATTGTTTCGAAATGTTTGTGAGCAATTTTTGATGTAAAACTGATTTTTTAATTGCATATTAAAACCTTTTCGGACGTATTTGAATGCTGCAAATGTAAATTTAGTTGTTGCGAAAAGTCGTTATTTCACATTATGTTTGTTTATCCTTCGTAAATACCATAATACTATCTGTTGTGCGCTCATGTGAAGTAGGTACAAATTACTGCACTTAAAAGGTCACTCGATACAAATACTATGGTTGAAATGTATGTATGTAATTACAAGCATAACGCACATTTTACGAATAGAATTCATCCGCGGCACTTCTTCGCTGAATGAACTGTATTAGTTCCGTTACGGTGATGTACCGGTTGTAACCTATAAAGATTGACAACAAAAAACTATTACGCCAAATCAAACAGCAGTGGTCTGAAAACAAACAGTAATATTATGACCGATCGTCAACGATAAAGGTATTTGATGTCAAAACAAAAAAAAAAACCTATTATTTTGTGTTCCATGTCGAATTAGAAACATAACGGACCATCCAAGTTAATTTAACACTGAATGTAATCGAAGTACCAACACTACAATATAATATGCTGTGCATACGATGTGGAAATTTGGATTCAAAACCGAAAAGATGAAATCGACAACGTAATCGTCAATTATAACTTTTAAAAAGAACAGAATCCGTTATTGAGAAAAATAAATGGTTTAATAGAATTGATTCGTCAAAGTATAAAAGTTCAAATTATTTCGATTAAGTTCTCCGGTTTTGATAACTTTCCAACTATATGA